TAGGTGTTTCTAAAATTGATTTAGTTGGAAGTTTTGACAGAGATTAAATGTTTTTTTCAGCCTTGAAAATCTCATTGATTGAAGTTATGAAGGTTCAAAAATGCTCAAATGGAAAAACTAATGAGAACTGTAAAAGTGGCAAAATTCCACCTACTTCTGTGAGCTGTCAGAGGCTGTAACACTGACAAATTCCATATTCTGAAGGCCACATTTTTTTAATGGCTTCATTAAGTTACTGAAGTTATGGAATCAGACGGAAACTTTTCTCAGATCTGTTTGATTTTAACCAGCACACTCACTGAGCGAGTGTATCCTCACGTCCTCTTTCTCAAAACGTAATGACCAGCAAACTGCACACGGCGTGTTTGAGGAGCATCTGCAAGTTGTAGCGCTGCAGTAGCGTTGTTGTAACGCTTGTTCAGAGAATTTTCTAGTAAGGTTGAAGCAGGTGAGGGTTAATGAAGCCAGCGTGGGTAAATAAAACGATAAAAGCTAATTGAATGGGAGAGTCCTGTGCAAGTTTTAACAAGCTGAGTCGTGAGCAACGCAGAAGGGAAAAGCTGAGCGGCTGAGTGGCAGCTTCACATCACGACACGCACCCAGCAGAGCGATTAAAACCTCCCCCAAGATCCTGCAGACCAGGTTAAGGTTGGCATTTAACAAGCTACTCTTTTTTTTTTTTTTCCAACTTTTCTCCTCGCCCACTTGAAGTTTCGCACGACTTTGTCTGATTGGCTCAAATCCCAGGTGTGAAAATCGTAGCTAATGAGGAGAATCGCTCACTTGCGATTGGTTTTGACAGGCAGCACCAGAGGCTGTATTTGCTGGGTGGGAAGACGAATGAAGATGTGCAGAACTCATCATATTTGAATAGTTAATAATCCACTTTATTATCCATCTACAGCAGTCTGCTCAGCGCCGTGTCAGCTTAATGAATCAGGCACAGATTGCTCCCCTTCAGGTAAAATAAATCATCCCCTCCTAAACGCCTGACAGATACTTGAAAGAGTCCTTGTGCAGTTTAAGTGGTGCACGCACACACACGTTAATCCTGGATGCATAACATTACTCTACAGGAGATCATTATCACAATCCAAGAGAAGAGCTGAGATGTACATATGAAAGAGCCGAGGTGACGGTTACCGGTCGAACTGCATTCAAGAGAAAAAGCAGAAAATGTCGCCTGAAAGGGAAAAAAACCAATGAGTTCTTGGTGATGTCATGCTTATTTTCATGCACAAGAAGAAGGTGCACTTCACCAGAATCCCATCAGGAGAAGTCATTTACACAAGGTGTTGTCCGTTCACGTCACAGGGCTCAAGTGTTTGTTCCAATTTGCCACAGTGGAAGGTTTTCCATTATATCACACGTGATGACAGAAACCAGAGAAAACAAGCTGAAGCCCAGCCATGAACAAAGACTGGCAGCAGCACTCGCCAACACACACCCAGAGCTCTCCAGGTGTTTCCAGGTCGTTAAAAGTAACAATAAAAATATAACATTCATATTTTCTCATGTCTAAAGTGTCACTTCAGCTACTAAATAAACTGTGTGTAAATTATTTTTTTAGATGTCTGTACATGATAAAACATGAACATGGCTGAAAAACTGATGCTAAATCGGATCAGAGTGACTGTGAGGTGTGTTTTTAACTGTGGGCATTTGAAAAGATCTCACTTAAATATAAATATGTCAGCTGTGGACATCACTTTATCCCAATTCTCAATTCAATTCAATTCAATTTCTTTATTGTCCCACAAGGGGAAATTAGTTTATCAGCAGGATAAAAATAAACAGAAT